TTCGGTTGCTTCGCTGGCTCTTTCTCCGACTGCCCTAAACCCACTGAACCCTCGAAAGCCCTGTACAAGACCCCGTACTAAACCCCTAATCCCCTAAACCCTAAACCCTAAACCCCAAACCCAAACCCTAAACCCTAAACCCCAAACAACAAAACCCTAAACTTACAAGACGCCGTAGCGAAAAAGCCCAGGCGCATGTCTTTGAAGCGGATGGCAATCTGAGACTTGGCCTTCTCACCTGCTCTGAGACTGCCGCTGCACTTCTAGACCCAAGAGTAACTCAGGAATATGAAGGGTTTAGGGTTTCGGGTTTAGGGTGATCCAAGAGTAACCTAGGAATAAAAAGGGTGCCCCTTTTTGGTCTAAGGAGGCTTACTATAAGGGAACCTAAGGGGAATAAGGGCCTAAACCCTAAACCCTAAACCTAAACCCTAAACCCTAAATCCTAAACCCAAACCCCCTCTGGGTCCTAGACTTTCGGAAGACTTGGTTGGCCAAGCTTTGGGATTGTTAGGGTTCAGTCTTCCTGGGGTTGGCAGTTGGGGTTTAGGGTGAAGTTGGTTTAGGGTTTAGGGTTTAGGGTTTAGGGTCTAGGGTCTAGGGTTTTAGGGTTTAGGGTTTAGGGTTTAGGGTTTAGGGTTTAGGGTTTAGGGTTTAGGGTTACCGAGTGCAAGTTGAGGGTTTCGGGTACCTGGTCTGGAGTTCACCATGTAAGGCGCATCCCCGTACATTCTTGGCCGAACTTAAGCCTTAAGCGACGCACGACGACTCAAGCTTCAAAATCCCTGTCCTCGTTCTGCCCGGCTCGAACGAAAGCGAGCGAAATGGCAACAAAGTCGGCGGAATTGGACACAAAGAAAACCCTAAACTCCAACCCTCAACTAAACCCTAACAACCCTAAACCCTAAACCCTAAACCCTAAACCCCTAAACCCCTAAACCCTAAACCCTAAACCCTAACCCCTAAACCCCCCTAAACCCCTAAACCCTAAACCCTAAACCCTAAACCCTAAACCCTGCCTCCCTGGGCGCCAGCGCCGGCGCTCGGCTGCCCAAGCAACGCCAAGGTCTCGGGCTGCTTGGGCTTGAAGGAGGCCTGCAGAGGGCTCCGGGGGTTTAGGGTTTAGGGTGTTTAGGGTTTAGGGTTTAGGGTTTAGGGCTTAGGGCTAGGGCTTAGGCTTAGGGCTTAGGGTTTAGGGTTTAGGTTAGGGTCTAGAATATAGCATTTAGGACTTAGGGAATGTCTCGGGTTGCTAGAATCCCCTTTTCGGACTGCCAATAGAAGGGGGAACATCCCAAGTTGTGGGTTTAGGGCATAGGGCTTCGGTGGATTCACATGTCATCCACAATTTCCGCGCATGCCACCACACACGACTGCACCTTCCAGGCTTCAAAGATCTGTTGCCTCCATCGGGCATACGAGCGGGTCCACGAGGGGGTCCACGTGCCGCAGATAGCTGAACTTTGCTTGGAGTTTAGGGTTTAGGGTTTAGGGTTGAGGGTTGAGGGTTTAGCGTTTAGGGCTTACATGGTACAAGAGGGGATTCGGATTTCCTCAGCAAGCGTCCATCCCATGAAGGCAATCACCAAAACCCAAGGTGGGGGCATCACTATCCTTAACCCCGCCTAGACACTGACTCAACCTCCGCACGATCTGCTTCACATCCCTATACAAGCCCCGGATACTAAAGCCCTAAACCCTCAAATGAAAAACTATGTAGCGTCGCCTGCAGTGTGATCGCGCGGGAAGGGGCAGAACCGTAGCCGTTTTCATTGCAGCCTGGCCGGAATGAAGGTTTCAACACATCAGTGAGTTTGGACTTTTTTGGGTTTTGGGGGCTGGGTGTGTGCATGAGATTGGGGTGCAGGGATACGTGTCCAGCTACGGCCTGGGATCTCCTGCAGGTCAGCTCCATCCGCAAGTAGCGGCCGTCACTACCGGTCTTGTCACGCAAGGGACAACTGCCGATCGAGCTCATTGTGGTGCGCCACTCCCCCCTGGCATGAGAACCAAGGGAGGGCCCTGGTGCCCTGCATCAGGGTGCTTATCTGCAATGAGGGAGCATCTACTTGTCAGGGGCCTCGGGTATCCACCATAGCTCCTTGGCAAACGGCACTCAGGGCTTCGGTAGGGCTACGCCCTTTAGTGCTATGGTCTGGGCTTTGTTGCTCTCCTACACCCGGAACCCTAAACCCTATAAACAAAAAACCCTCTAAACCCTGCAAACCCTCTAATTTAATTCTGGCCCTCTGACCCCCCTAAGCCCCCGAGACCATAAACCCGAAAACCTAAACCCCCAGCCCCCAAACGCCCTACGAGTAAACCCCTAAACCCCCTAAAGCCCCTAAGCTAAGCCCCCCTAAAATAAACCCTACCCGAATAAACCCTAAACCCGAATAAACCCCAAACTCCCAAACTCCCTAGACCCCTTAACTTCCTAAACTCCCTAAACTCCCTAAACTCCCTTAACTCCCTAACTCCCTTAACTCCCTAAACTCCCCAAACTCCCTTAACTCCCTTAACTCCCTAAACTCCCTAACTCCCTAACTCCCTTAACTCCCTTAACTCCCTAAAACTCCCTGAACTCCCTTAACTCGCTTAACTCCCTAACTCCCTAAACTCCCTAAACTCCCTTAACTCCCTTAACCCCGAAGCGCTCCCGACGCCCGAGGCCCCGGCCACGTTGAAGAAGAAGATCTCCCTGAGATACTCATCCTGGAGGGGGCTTCTTGTTTAGGGTTCAGGGTTTAGGGTTTAGGGTTTAGGTTTAGGGTTTAGGGTTTAGGGTTTAGGGTTTAGGTTTGGGTTTGGGGTTTGGGGTTTGGGATTTGGGGTTTTAGGGGTTTAGGGGTTTTAGGGGTTTAGGGGTTTAGGGGTTTAGGGGTTCGGTCTCGAAGTAGGGGATGGGGGTTTGTCGAGTAGGGTTTGGGGTTTAGGGCTTAGGGTTTAGGGATTAGGGTTTAGGCTTTAGGGTTTAGGGTTCAGGGTTCTCGGTTTTTGGGGTCGCCCAAACAAGACTCAGGGCAAGAGTGAGAAAGATTGTATAAGCATTACAAGCAACGTCATCATCACCAGCGTCCCACCAAAAAGTCCTAAACCCCAAGCTGCTTGATAACAAGAACCCCCAACACAAACACGCGCGAAAACCTCAGCCAGCCTTGGGGACCAGGTGAACCCTGAAAGGGTCTAGGTTCGTGTACCGTAATAGGGGTTTAGTCAGTATCGAGTGTCTGCGCGCAATTCTAGGGTCCGTTTGGCCCCGAACCCTAAACCCCCTAAACCCTAAACCCTAAGCCCTACTAAACCTCAGCGCGCTGTCCTTCTTATCCATGTCCTCTGGGGGTGTTGGCAAGGCCATGACATGACCTGGCTCACAAGTCACACCCGAAATCATCCCAAACCCTAATTCAACCCTAACCCTAAACGCTAAACCCTAAACCCTAATCCCAAACCAGCCTTACAACCCTAAACTGTAAACCCTAAACCCTAAAGCCCTAAAAGACCAAACCCCTTAACCCGACAACCCTACGTCTGGGTTTGGGCTTCGGGAGGCTTCGGGGATTCAGCATTTTGGGGTCGTGTGCCCCTTGGGGTGATCCGTGTTGGGAGTTTTGGCACCAAAGCAGGGGCCGGTGAGGCCTATGCTACCACATTTAGGGCTTAGGGTTTGGGGTTAGGGCTTAGGGGGGGCTTAGGGCTTAGGGTAGGGTTTTTGGGCTTGGGGCTTAGGGCTTAGGGTTTAGGGCTTTTGGAGTCGGATTGGCGTCGGGCCGTCAAGGCGAGCAAGGGGGCGAGAATAATCAGGGCCAGCGAGGGCGGAATCACTTAGCCACCGCGATCAGTCCAAAGCAAGGCCCGCTCCCCCGCGCCCGTACTGCTGCACACCCTCAACCCTAACCTCTGAACCCCAACCCTCAAACCCCTAAACCCTAAACTCTAAACCTAACCCAAACCCTGAACCCAATTCCCAAACCCCCTACACAGTGCCCCGTAAGGCTTCAACAAGACAGCCTCGGAAACTGTGGAGCTTGAAAGGCAGCACGGAGACATGCGGAAACTTGAGCGCGAGGTTCACAGGCCTGGTCTGCATGACTCAAGGTTTACGGTTTAGGTCCAGGGTGGGGTTTAGGGTTAGGTTTGGGGGTTTAGGGTTTAGGGTTTAGGTTCAGGGTTTAAGGTTTCAGGTTTGGGGTTTAGGGTTAAGGGTTTCAAGGCTTCAGGTCTTTAGGCTTGCGGCGGCTTGCGCGTTATCAAGTCATAGGGCCCTACTAGTGCACACTAGGCTGCCCGACAACTGCTGTGTCAATCGGGGCTCCCTACGACTTGCTTCTTAGATCTAGACAGAACTATTGATGCGATGAGTGCTTAGTCTAGTGAGCCACTTAGCGATAGATCAACAAAAAACTTAACAGATGAGCATGGAGGTCGCGTGTGAACTGGGGCGAAGGCTTGCAGGCTTTTAGGGACTACTGCTCATGGTGTCATGAGGCTTAAGGGCATGTAAGGTTTAAAGCATTCCGGGCCGTGCCTCTCCCTCTTCCTTTCCCTCCGCTATATTGTCCAATGCGTATACATATATGATCGGATTTAGGCCTCCGGGTTTAGGGCTTAGGGGCTTATGCTTTATACTGCAGACCTACGAGCGTGCCGTCTGGGCCTTGCTTTTCCCACGCGTGGTGGCGTACACGAGCACATCTCCATCCTTCCAAGTCCCAGGCTACAGGGTTGAGGTTTAGGGTCGAGGGTTTAGGGTTTGGGGTTTAGGGTTTAGGTTTTTAGGGTCGAGGGTTTAGGGTTAGGGTTGAGGGTTTAGGGTTTAGGGTCTGAAGGGTTTAGGGTCTAGCTTCGAGACCTGCGTGAGGGATCAGTGGGCGGGCTCAGGGTTCCTGACGCGCTTGGACGTTTCCTTGCTCAGCTTTGCACCTGCCAAACGCTCCTTGTAAACCCTGAGCCACCTCCGCCTTTGAACCCTAAACCCTAACCCTAACCCTAAACCCTAAACCCTAAACCCTAAACCCTAAACCCTGAGCCACCCTTGTAGACCCTTTGAATCCTAAACCCCTCAACCCTAAACCCTAACCCGAAGCACAGCCTCAACCCCCTCAACCCTAAGCCGAAAAACCCCAAGCTCTGCACCCTATTCTGCTCGCCAAGTCCAAACTTCAAGCCCCGAATCCGATAAACCTATGCCCCTCTAGGGGTAGTTACAGGGTCCCTGTGGCCTCTTTCCTACCCTAAACCCTATGCCCTAAACCCTAAACCCCCCTAACCCTAAACCCTAAACCCTAAACCCTAAACCCTAAACCCTAAACCCTAAACCCTAAACCCACACCAGGGTTCTGAATATGGGCCCTTGGGTTGTCCAGGTGTATAATGGGGTACATACGGGGTACCCTTTTAAGGGCCCATACTTGGAGGTTCAAGGTCCTTATTAACCAATCCGCCCAGCCTCGGGCCGGAGGTGTATAGGTTGTCAGAACAGGCACCCCCCTCCATCCTTCTCCACACCCGACCCCTTTTTCGGACCCCTTTTTTTGGCCTCAAATGGGTACCATTCTGGGAAACCGGGGTCCGCAAGCGGCCGATGCCCCCACCGCCACCCCCCCCCCCCCCCCCCCCCCCCCCCCCCCCCCCCCCCCCCCCCACGCCCCCCCACCCCACCCCCCCACCCCCCCCCACCCCCCCCCCCCACCCACCCCCGCCCACCCCCCCCCCCCCCCCCCCCCCCCCCTTACCCGGCCGGAGGTGTAAAGGTTGTCAGAACAGGCACCCCCCTCCAAATCCTCCCCCCACACCCAAAGCCCTTTTTCGGACCCCTTTTTTTGGCCTCAAATGGGTACCCCTCCTGGGAAAGCGGGGTCCGCAAGCGGACGGTTCGCCAGGACCAGAGGCAGTTGAAGCCCCTCCCAGCAGCCCCGCCGCTGTTCCCCCCCCCCCCCCCCCCCCCCCCCCCCCCCCCCCCCCCCCCCCCCCCCCCCCCCCCCCCCCCCCCCCCCCCCCCCCCCCCCCCCCCCCCACCCGAACCCTAAACCCAAAAAAACCCTCAACCCCAAAGCGTGAACCTTGAGCCCTAAACCCTACGATCACCCCAAGCCTAAACCCCAAGCCCGCAAAGCGTGAACCTTGAGCCCTAAACTAACCCTCAACCCCAAACCCCAAACCATAAACCATAAACCCGGAACCCTCAACCCTCAACCCTCAACCCAACCCTTATTGCTTGGGGTCCAGCGACTTGGGCGCTGCGGAATCACCATGCTCACGCGGATGCGCTGGGCCGGGCCGAGGCGGGTCGCGTAGCGTTAAAATTATAAGTGTACTTATAACTGTACTTATAACCCTCTTAGGGCCTACTAGGGTACTTAAAAGTGGGTTATATGTACAAGAATTGGTTCATAAGAACCATGAACCTCCAAGTACTAAGGGACCATGTACCTCCCCTAAGACCCTCAACCCTCAACCCTAAACCCTACACCCCGCCGAACCCTGAGACTACTTTGGGTCCTGCAAAGCCAGGAGCACACGGCCTGTCCTTGGGATCAGCGCTCACCAACAGCAGAGGTTAGGGTTTAGGGTGTCTGGTTTAGGGTTTCGGGCTTCGGGATTAGGGAGTAGGGTTTAGGGTCTAGGGAATGTTCGCTGCTGGCCCTATGTAAATCAATCCACTACTCAATGACCCATTCTAACACCCAAGCATTTGGGCTTTATACGTGGGTGAGACCCATGACGACCCATGTAATTTGTCGCCTTGGCCCTGCGATTGGGCTAGACTCTTCACCAACTAACGCATCAACCCAATTACGTCGGCCCCCATGAATGCAACTACCCCTACCCCAACTAGTTTGCGTGCCGAGCATTGGGTGCACTTTGGCTAGTGATGGATGGGTGAACATCATGGTTAAGGTTTAGGGTGTTTATTGTTTTCCTGGTTTTGGGGCTTATGACTGAGATGCTTCACCGTCATCTTATTTTGCAATGCAG